TAATACCTAATATCACACGCCAGCAAAATCTTGCTGAAAATTATTTAAAAATGGCAGAACAGTACGTAGATAAGGAAATGCCAGAAGTTCAAGTAGGATTTAGAAGAAAGGATTGAGAAGTAAAGAATACCAGAAAACAAACAAAAACTGCTGGCTAGGTTGCGGAGAAACTGGAACACTTATTCACTGTTGGTGGGCGTGTAAAATGGTACAACCACTATGTAAGGCTGTATGGCACTTTCTCAAAAAGTCGCAAATAGAAATACCATTTGGCCCCGACATTGCTCTGCTGGACATAGACCCTAAAGAAACCATAACTGCCACTGGGGCAGATATATGCATTCCCATGTTTATTGTGGCTTTGTTCACAATAGCAAATAGTTGGAAACAACCTAAGTGCCCAACAACAAATGAATGGTTAGATAAGCTGTGGTATATGCACACAATGGAATACTTTGCTGCATTGAAAAACAAGGCACTCATGAAATATTATTTAAAATGGGTGACCCTGGAGGACATTATGCTGAGTTAAATATCTCATCAAAGAAGGACAAATACTGCATAGTGCCACTGTTGTAGAATGGGACTGACATCAGGGTTGGGAAAAGATTGAGAAAAATTGGATAAATTATGTATCCTGCATTGAAACAGATGAGGAAGAGAACACTTTAAAGACAATATATGATTGGGTATTATGGTTGTGACAAGAGTCCAGAATGAAGGTTGCATAGTGGAGAGTAGGGGGGGAGTGGGGCGGTGAATTGTATACCAGTGAAGGAATTTTTCTTTTACTTTTCAAGTAGAGGAGTGAACTGGGGGAGAGGGGGCGGGAGGCAGGGAGAAAAGTGCAACAATGAATGAATGGAAATCCAAAATCTCTGTAAATGTTCATTAAAATAAAAAAATTTAATAAATAAAAAAGGAGAGAAAAGAAAAAAAATTAAAAAAGAATACCAGAAGAATATCTATGCTTTATTGACTATCCAAAGGCAGTTGACTGTGTGGATCATAACAAGTTATGGCTAACCTTGAGAAGAATAGAAATCTCAGAGCGCTTAATTGTGTTCATGAGAAACTTATACCTAGATTTATTGCTGTTGTTATGTGCCGTCAAGTGACCTGCAACCCATAATGACCTTATGAACAGCAGCTCTGAATGCTACCCTCTACTGAGCCAGTCTCACTAATTCTGACACATCAATCCCCATTGCGCAAATTACTGTATCAATCTATCTCATCCAGGGTCTTCCTCTCCTGTGCTATTTTTCCACCCGTCTGAACATAATGACCTTCTCCAAGGACCGGTTTCTCCTGGATACGTGGCATAAAGTATGTGAGAGGGAGCTTCAAAAGCCTAACCTCAAAGGAGAAACTTGGTGTCACCCTTTCCAAGATAGACCTATTTGTTTTCTTGGCAGTCCATGGTATGTTCAAGACTCAGCTCCAGCACCACAATTCAAAGGTATTAATTTTCCTACTGTCATCACTGCTCATTGTCCAGATCTCTGATGCATAGCAAGTAATTGTGAAGACCATGGCCTGGATTAGGTGCATGGTCTCTAGCCTGACATTTTTGCTTTTCAGTGTTCTGGAGAGGTCCCCAGCAGCAGATTTTCAAATGCAATTAGTCTTCTGATTTCCTGACTACTGATGTCAAGAATGTTGATTATGAAGCTGAGCAAGCTGTAATTGTTAACAACTTCAATCTCTTATGATGCTGCCAACCGGCCCAGTGGTGAGGATCTTTGTCTTTTTTATGTTGATCTTCAAACCATATGGAAGACTACAGTCCTTGACCTTCTGTTGCAAGTGTTTCAGGTCCTCTTTAGTTTCAGCAAGGAAGGTTGTGTCACCTGCATCCTGTAGATTGTTGATGGGTCTTTCTCTAATCCTGATGTCCCATTCCTCCTTATAAAGCCCAGCCTCTTGAATGATCTGTTCTGCATACAGATTGAAAAGATGTAGAGACAGGATGCATCCTTCCCTGATGTACTCCTTTCCGGATTTTGAACCAAACAGTATTTCCCTGCTCTGTTCCAAGACTACCTAGACTAGGAAGAGAGAAAGGGAACATTGCATGGTTTAAAAAAGAAGGGAGTGCATCAGGGTTGTATTCTCTCTCCATGCCTATCCAATCTGTATGCTAAATAAATTATTTAAGACTATGAAAGAGGAGTATGGCAACAGGATTGGAGGAAGACTCATCAATAACCTGTGTTATACAGATGACACAACCTTGCTTGCTGAAAGTGAGGAGAACTTGAAGCACTAGTTGCAGAAGATCAAAGAATACAGCTTTCCATATGCATTGCATCTTAACCTCAAGAAAATACGGATTCTTACCACTGGACCAATAGGCTACATCATGATAGATGGAGAAAAGATTGAAACTGTCAACAACTTCACCTTACTTGGACCCACAATTAAAACCCTTGGTATCAGCAGTCAGGAAATTAGGAGTTGTGTTACACTGGAAAAGTCTTTTTTTTTTCTTTAAAGGGTAAACGTTTATTTGGAGTTAGTTTCTGGTGGGTGCTGGTAAGGCCCATCAAGCAGAGTTCAGGAGCTCCTGGATGGCTCCCTGCTGCTCGGGACTGAGCTGTCCTATGCACTCAGTCCACAGTCCTCCAGAAGTCTGTACTTGACGAATGACATTAGCCAGACGTTTGGCACAAGGATCATCATGTTTAATTGCCTCATGCATTTCTCCGTCTGCAAGTCTGCAATTAGGGACTTCTCCAGTTTGTTAAGGAATTATGAGATCAATTCGAAGACTGAGGTGTATCTGATTCAGACCATGGTCTCTTCAATCACTTGCTTTTCATCTGAGAGTTATGGAATGAATAAGGACTACAGAAGAATAACTGATGCCTTTGAGATGTGGTATTGGAGAAGAACCCTGAACATCCTATGGACTGTCCAAAGAACAAACATGTATGTTAGAGGAGGTGCAGTCAGAATGCTCCTTGGAGGCAAGAGTGATAGAGCTTCGCCTTGCATACTTTGGGCATGTTGCTGGGACAGGCTATTTTTTGGAGAGAGACATGATGCTCAGAAAGACACAGGGTTGGCAAAGGAGAAGAAAACCCTCAACTCAGTGGATTGACAAGGTGACTGCCGCAATGGGCTCTAAGGTATCAGACAGTGCCATTTCAGACAAGCGTCTCATGTCAAATGTTTAGAGAATTCCACAGAGCCTTCATAAGAAAAAGACTGATAATACAGTTACAAAATGGGCAAAAGACATAGAAAGGCTTTTCACAAAGGAAGATATTTGATGGCCAGCAAGAAATGCTCAAAATCACTAGAAACAAGAAAGATGCAAATCAAAACCACAATGAGATACCATCTCACCCCATTAGTAGTGGGAAATTTTAACATGACAGCAAGTAATAAATGTTGGGGAGGATGTGGCAAGTTAGGAACTCTTATCCACTGTTGGTGGGATTTTAAAAGGGTGCAACCTCTCTGGAAGGTAGTATGGCACTTTCTCAAAACACTGAACATAGACATTCTATATCACCCAGCTAGTCCACTCCTTGGAATATACCCCAAGAAAACTAGAACTGAAGCACAAATGGAGATTTTTACACCAATGTTCATAGCAGTGTTATTAACCATTGCAAGAACATGGAAACAGCTCACATCTCCAACTACAATTGAATAGATTGAGAAATTATGCTATATTCCCATGATGAAATACTACATAGCATGCAAGAACAATGATTTTGAAAATCACTTGCTAACTTGGGAGGGACTGGAGAGTGTTATGCTAAGTGAACTAACTCAGTCCCATAAGGATTAACACTATATAAGATCATTATTTTAGAAATAGAAAGATAACTAGGAAAACATGTCTGAGGTTCCAAGGGGGCGAGGGGATGGTAAGAGCAGAGCAGTGAGAATGGGCAGGGGAATAATCATAGTCACACAATTTGATGGGTAGAGGGAGGGGTGGTTAAGGAAAATGGGAAAGATCCAGTATAATATAAAAAAATATTTAAAAAATATAATCAATACCTTTGAATTATGGCATCGACAAAGCCTGCCAAAAGAACAAAAAAAAAAAATCTTTCTTGGAGGAACGGCAATCAGGTTGACCCTTAAGGACAAGGATGGTAAAACCTTGTCTCACATATTGTGAGCATATGGTCTGGAAACGCCCATCCTTCAAATATGCATCATGTTGGGAAAGGTGGAGGTCAGAAGAGAGGAAGGCTCTGAACAAGATAGATTGACATGAGGATAGTAACAAGGGGTTTGAGCATATTCTGATCATGGGAATAGCACAGGATAGGACAACGTGTAGATAAGTTGTTCATCAGGTTGCTATGAGCTGTAGTTAACTCATTGGCATCTAACAACAGCACCACCAACAATAATGGTGTCTATTTTTTCATCATTTTAATATATTTGATATGTATTATCACTTTGTCCAGTGGATATTATTTGTTATGTTCCATTGAGTTGGAACTGACTCATGGTTGACCATCCAGTGGATTTTCCAAGGCAGTAAATTGTACCAGAGAGATTACCCCTCCTTGTGCCATGGAGCAGCTATGGATTTGAACCATGTGCTTTATGTTTGGTAGCATAATTCCTAACCACTAAACCACAAGAGCTCCCTTCTGAGTGATAAATCATAAAATTATAATTGTTAGTGTTTATATCTTTTTGTATCAGTGATATAAAAATAAGGTTGATTAACTCCTATAATCAATGGTATCTTGATTTAATGAAGTATAGTGATAGATAATAAATACTGTATACTGTAATGATATAAAAGAATGAATGAAACATTCATAGCTTTCCTCAGGTTACATAATTCTTATTTAAAACCTCACACCGCATTGAAAGTATTATGGCAGGCAAAAGTTGAGTTTTATTTTTTTAATCTGGGCTTTTATTATAAAAGTAAGACAGATGATAAAACAGCTCAAATTGTTCTTAATAATTTCTTTTCACGATGGCTTCACATGTGTCATATACTTGTTTTCTAGGTGAAATTGACCTTCAAATTATCTCCAAAGTACAGACTCAATATCCAGGAATTCAGATCAACAATGAAGTTGTTGAACCAAGTGCCGAACAAATTGTCAAGTACAAAGGTAGTCTGTAATTTTTAGCCCCAGATCCAGTCCCCAAAAGCTTCTCACTGCAAAATTTCCCCTTTAATCCTTAATAACATAATTTACTGTGGCATGCTTTTTGTAAGTTTATTGGGAGAAAATCTTAACTAATATGTTTTCTTGTCAGATGTAGCTAAACATCTCAAATATGAACAGTAAATAATGAGACTATTTTCTTATTGAGGCTCATCTATTTCCTAAACATTTGTTGTTGTTTTGATTTTTTTAATATGTTTATCCTAAAGGACAAGATATTCCTTTATTCAGGAATATTTCAAGAGTCCCTGCCCTTAAAGAGTTAATGGCTAATGGGTTACACAGAAGTTGATGCATTTCCCCCCCCCCAAAGGATCAAATAGTAAATAATTCAGACTTAACATACCTTGTAGTCTCTGTAACCACTACTCAAATCTATTATGGTAGCACAAAAGCAGCCCATAACAATATGGAAACTAGAGAATAAGGCTGTTTTCCAATACAACTTTATTGATGAAAATCAAAATTTGAATATCATGTATTTTTCTTGGAATATTCTCTTTAATTTTTTTAATCATTTGAAAATGTGAAAGATGTTCTTACCTTCAGGTCCACACAATGTGGGCAGGTGGACCTGTGAATCTCTACGTTAAACCGTCACCTCACCTATTTCGCATCAATGTGCCATTGATAAAAATATCCAGTAGTTTTATCATAAAGATTTTAAAGGCTAAAATCCATCTGATTTAAGCCATGGTCCTTTCAATTACATGCATGTATCTGAAAGTTGGACAATGGGTAAAGATGGTAGACGAAGAATTGTTGCCTTTGAGTTGTAGTGATAGAGTACTGATTATCCCATGGACTGTCAAAAGAAGGAACGAGTCTGAGAAAGAGTCTTGTTGCAATCAAGGTTCTCCTTAGAGGCAAGGATGGTGAAACGTTATTTCACATACTTTAGGCATGTTGGTAGGAGACACCTGTTTTTGGGAAAAGACATCAGCAAAAGAGAGGAAAGGCTCAGCACGGCGGTTCAAGTATATCAGGGATGTGAGGATGGCACAGGATAAGACAGTTCATAGTGATTGTTCACAGGGTTGCTATGAGTCATCATTGACTCAATGGCTCCAAATAACAATGTCTGATGAGAGTCTTCACTGTTATTTCTGATTGGCTCTTTAGCTTCTAATTTCCTTTATTTCTAGAAAAAAAAGATCAGAATGAACTCTGTGGCCCTCCCAGAGTTACAAAAGAAGGGAAAATGTGTTTTGTATCTGTTTTGTGTATAACATTGATTGCATTAAAATTCTAAATGAAAATGGGTTTCACATTTGCAATTAAAATTGATAGTGTGCCACGTCTTCTCTGTATTTTAGAGCTTGTAGCCAAGACATCAAACCTTGAGAACATAAAGTTTGCTTGGCACAAGGAGACATCATCTGAATATCAAAACAGAATGAAGGAGGGAAAAGACCTTAAAAAATGGGACTTTATCCACATGATTCAGGTAAGAGATATTTATTATAATATTCTCTTAGAAAGTGAACTCTTCAGGAATATGTTAGAAGAGGGCCACATATTCTAGCTTACAATAAAGGATTTAAATCTTTGAATATAATTTTATGAGTGAACCATGCCTGTTCAAACTGGGAAGAAAGATTTTGGTAGTACTAATAGTCATTTAGTTAACATTCAAAGAGACAGTTAACTCTATTAAAAATATCTCCATCACTACTGATTTTTTTTTCCAGTATTGGCTTAATTTATTTTTCCAGGATTTCTTCTAGGATAGAAAACTCATGGATAGATGTGAGAACAGTAGAAGGGTATAATATCCCACTACTATTAGCACAATTCTCTAATGACATCAATAGTCCAGAATTCCTCCAGATCCTCTTGCTTTTACCTTTTCTGGATAACCTAACTAGTGTACATGGGGCAGAAGAGACAGGTTATATGACTTCTCAGGTCAATAAGTTTTACTCAGGTCAGCCAATCATTCAATAAGTCCTTATTTTCCTGGTTTACATTGACTGACCAGTTAGTACAATCCTTAGACAGGGAATAATGATTCAGCAGATAGTATAAAGCTACATTTCTAAGGCTTACTGATAGATATTTCTGTATATTGTATGGAATATATAGATTTATATGTTGGCTGTTGTTCAAAGATGTGCATATTTTAGAAATACTACCCAGAGAAATAGAAGAAATGATGCCAGAATGATATTTTCACATAGTTTTAGCTGCCTTAGCTGCTAAAATGTTTTAACCTGTAAAAGATTAACATTGCCCAGAATCCTATGATGCATTTTTCAACTTTCAGATAACTATTTTATAGCTTTTTTTCTCCTTTGATTTCCTACAATCACTTCCCAACCACTCAATCCCAATTTATGATAAAATTTTATATTTTGTATTGAAGATACTCATTCTTCACCCTCCAAATTATCAACATAGCTATAGCTTGATTTGTTGTCTACTCTGATCTTCAGAAAAAGCCTCCACTTGACCAAAGTCAGGCTCTTCACCTAGTCTCTGGATCCCATTACAAAATGTTGCCATTTCAGACATCTGCTTCTTCTATTTCTCTCAAAACATCCGTGTTCACTTTCTTCCTTGTGTCAACTCTCGTCTATGTTCTTATTCTGTTGTTTTCTCTCTCTCTTCTGATTTTTCTGTGCAGTACGTCTGCCTTGTCATTGCTACTGTTATACTCCCATGGCACATTTTCAAATTAGTAATACAATCAGCGATGGAGACTCTCATCATTTTTAAATCATATTGCATGTTTCTGATATGAACACTCTCCTAAATTTTTAGCCAGATTATGTCTTAGGTTAACCATTTTATTGAGGAGCTGCATTATGAAACTATCTGTGGACCCCATAGTGGCAGCATGGAGTGAGATGGTTCTAAATACAGCCTAAGGCAGAGGAACTACAAGCAGGTTATTTATCCTATTGATTAATGTTAAAGGGTCATAACTTAGGCTGTTTTCCATTTATATAATGATGTTTGCTATGTACAGGCTACATATAATACTAAATGCAAGAGAGAGGAAGATGATATATTTGAAGTGTCTGTGGGGATGATTCCAAAGACACAAACCCTGAAGGAGAGTTCCCACTTTCGATTCAGAATTCCAAGTTCTGTTTGTTTTGGTTAAGAATTACTAAAAATGGGCAGGCGAGCCTTAGTACTCAGTAATGAAGTGAGTAACCTCATGTTTTATCCACTCTAGTTTCCTAGAAAGTCTTTCAACAACAAAACCTGCCACATCCCCTATTATTTTTTTTTAAGTGCCTGTGAATGTATGATGAAATGAGTGCAAGGATTTAATTTTAAAGCAACATGGCATGAAATAGGATCTGTTTATACGGTGCTGGTGCCATTTTCTCTCATCAGAACTATAATTCACAAACATGAACCAGGCATAGAATTAGTGCCTCCACATGGAGCGGAGACTAGCATCTCCAACTATAAATGTCCATGTTACTGAAGCCAGAAGGAGTATAACTAGGGTTGTTTGTATCTAGTGGAGCAAATGCCACAGTTTTCTTTTTTTCTAAATATTTTCTTACATCATTATTCTTTTTGTAAGATCTTTCCTTTTTTAAACTGCTTAAGCACTTTGTTGAATGAAAAGTAAGCTTTCAAGTGAGTATTTAGCCCAAGCTAGAGTGATATCAATGTAGAGAGGTTTCTCATTTCTTTTTATCTTGATTCTAGATGCTATATTATGTGAAGGACATCCCAGAGACCCTGAAATTCTTCCATAGTCTCTTAGCTTCTGATGCTTTGATTCTCATTATTCTTGTGTCAGGTAAGTTACTCGTACTCAACCATCGACTTTAAAAACCAAATAATGTTTGTGTGTGTACACATGGGTTCATGGGTTCTAAGACTGGTGTTATATGTCATCTTTAAAGTGACATTCTTGACATCTGATAATTGTCAGTTGATTTTCATAATATTAAGAAAGTTATTTACAGCTACTTCAGTTCAGAATGCTAGTAAAATTACAAGTCTCTGTTTTCTTTCAGGGAAAATATTTTCATCTTCTTGGTGTGTATCTTTTATACATGATTTAGTAGAGATATAATAAACACAATGACATATGACCGTGTCATATTGCTTCCAGTGGCATAGGAGACAAATGTTGTTAGAAAATTAAAGACTGACATTCCTGAATTCTTTCATTCGGTGATTTTTAGTGATTATCTACCAGAATTAGTTTGGTTAGTTCTAGATCTTGAGCCCTATCTACTTCCTAAGCTTATGTCAGACCATGTACTCCAATATGAAATGTAGCAATATCAGGTTGTTTATAAATATGAGAAAGAGTTTCAATAGCAGTAAATGTGGTTGATTCTTGTGGTCCTGGGTTTGGATCTCATGAGAGTTTGGCAAGAGAGAGCTTTACTACAGAACCTCCTCTCCAAGGAAACATTTTTTAAAATATTTTTGTCTCTTTGTCATTTCCCCACTGAACTGATTTCATCTCCTTGTCAAAAATCAGTTGACCATAGGTAGATGATTTCTGGGTTCTCAATTGTATTCCATTGATCTATGTGTCTGTCTTTGTACCAGTACCACGCTGTCTTGACCATCACGGCAGTGTAGTAGGATTTGAAATCAGGGAGTGAGATGCCTCCTACTTTGTTTCTCTTTTTAAGGAGCATTTTGCTTATTTGGGGCCTTTTTCCATTCCAAATGAAATGGAAGAACTTTTTTTCCCCCAAAGCAAAAAGCGATCTGGGTGAGGGGGTGGGGAAGGGACAGGGAGGAAAATATGTAACAGTGAATAATTGGAAACCCAAGTTATTTATAAACTTTCATTAAAATCTCAATTAAAAAAAAGGAAAAAATGTCTCTAGTTGTTTTTTAAAAAATCTCTTATGAGAGAGACCTGGCTTCTCATTTAGAAGGACATATGTGAATTAATCCTTCTTAGTAAGTATTCTCTAAAGAAGGACAGTTAAGGCAAAGCACTTCATGTTGCATCCAAATTACAAAACTCACGCCCTACATGCTATAAAGTGACACTATGTATCTCACATCATCCTCACATTTACTGCTACACACAAGCCCATGGTTGTAGCCACCATGTTAATCCATCCTTGTGAGGGCTCTTATAGTTGCAGGTGCTGATCAGATGATTCAGAACTGACTAGAACCATTTAGTAGAAAATTGAAGTCCCTGGAGTCATAAACAGTTAAGTGCTTGGCTGTTAACCAACAGGTTAGTGGTTTGAGTTCACCCAGAGATTGCTCAGAAAATGTTTTGTAAATCTACTTATAAAAGATCAACCAGGAAAATCCTGTAGAGCAGCTATACTCTGAGGGGAACTATGAATCAGATTCATCTTGATGCCAACTGGTTTACTGATGCAGTTAAATTTGTGAGAACAGTTAGCTACCATCTCATTTTGAAAGAGTCTCACAGTGTATCTGGACCGACTTCTTGACCTGAAAGACCATCTTAAATATGTCATGTAGGTTCTGTCTGGCTGTCTTAGTCACTTATGACCAAATGATAAGCTATTTCTTTAAAGGGAGTGTTTATAAAGAGTATCCCACGATAATTGAAGTAGCAGGCATGTTTTGGGTTTCATAAATGCATTCATTTTAAAAAAATTATATTATAGGATAATGTCATATGCAGTTAGTTTAAACTTTAATTATGCAAAGCAAATATTTTGGCCATGGCACCATCTATTTTAAGTCAAAATATAGTCTGCACCTCCAGAGCCATGTGGGCTGCACAGAATAGCCCTTACATAGATTTGGTTCATAAATCATTATTGATTTCCCACTGTGTGCAGACACTGCTATACTCTGAAAGTTACTAAAGTGACTATTAACTTTTCCTGTGCCTTGAAAAGGCTCCTCTTCCAATGGAAGATTCTAACTTGTAAACAAATACTTTCAGCAATGTGTACACAGAGAGATACACAATTTTTTCAGGGAATTCTTTGATGGAGGAGATTCTGCTTTACATTTCTATTCCCAAATTTTTCTAACATCTCTCCATACAGAAGGCCCTCAGTAAGTGTGTTTTAATGACAATGAATATTTTTTATTTATAAAATCAGAACTACAACTATTTTTTAATAATACAGACAAGAAAGAGACCATGGCTATATGATGAATATGAAATCAGGGAATATAGAAAGTTTTGAGAATTTGCAAATAAAGGGAATAAAAAGCTCGATAATGGAGACACACATGTTCTATATATTTCTCTCTTTCACACACACACACACACACACACACACACACACACACACACACACAAATACCCAGACAAAAACATGCACATGAGCACAAGAAAGCAAAACTAATTAGAAAAAGAAAGGGGTATTGAAATAAGAATGAAATGACAATCTATCTTGGTCCTTCTTAGTCAGAGTTTTTCCTCTGTGTGCCTAAGTAAGTATTCATTACAATCCAGCTCAGTAAATACTCATTTAATGATAAATAGCAGAAAAAATCTTGATTGTAATCACAAGAGAGATTTTATTTGAGAACAAAAGAGAAGAAAATGATGAAGAGAAGATATGGATTTATTTTTCTATTGTTTTGTTTCTAAAGAGTATCCCACAATAAGTGAAATAGCAGGCATGTATTTGTGCAAGCATAGGAGCCACGCAGCAATGAGCAAAGTCACTTATTGAATTGTAACTGATCAGGGTAAAGGAGATTAGTTAGTAGGAAATTGCTGAAGTTTTCTGTACTTCTCTCTCCTTACCTGACTAAGGAAGGAAGCAAATTAGAGTGTGTTATTTTTAATACAGTTGGAAAAACGAGAGTCTGGTTTATATCATGTTGAAAACAAAAAAATCACACCATATGTTGTGCCCACCGAGAGTCATTATGCTAATGCATCAGTCAGAGGGTATTTAATTACTCAGCTCAGAAATGGCAGCAAGTCGCAGAACACTGACACTAGCAAATTTTCTGCAATTAGTGTTTGGTTCTTTATACTCTGCCAGCTTTTTAAAAAAACAAAACAAAATAATGCTTCTTCTTAGTCATTGAAATGTTTATTTTCTTATAGTGTCTTATTTATAGACAACTCTTATTTGGAAAGATAACCTCCTATTATTGGAGTAATTTTTTTTTTAAATGCACATTCACACTCTTAATTAAAATGAGGTTTTACTATCTTGTTTCTTCTGAAATCTTAGGCCATTCATTATTTAGACTTATTATTTTTCAGTTGCTTCCTTGGATAGCTTCTTGTGTTAAGTTAAATCAGAGGATTTCACCCTAATTCACAGATGTGTGACTCGCTCATAATTGTATACAGAACTGTGTGGATATGCGCTACATGTGTTCTTGCCTGGGAGAAGTAAGCACTTTTTATCAGATCACAAAAGAGATTTGGGAAGGAAAAGACCAAGCCTTGAAGTCATCACTTTTCAGCATGGAAGAACTTTAAAAAATACAATCTCTCTCTTGTTTTGCTTTGCTCAAGCCCACCTTAGTTTTCTCACATTTAAAGGGTATTTACTCTGTGCCTGCCATGGTTCTAAGTGCCTTTATGACTATTTACTAAGCTAATCCTTACAGCAAGTCTCCAAGTGTATCCTCTACACAATCTTGTTTACACATGATAAAACCAGGGCCCACAATTGGTAAAGCCAATAATAGGGAAAGCCACGCTCCACACACAGACTACCTATCTTCAGAGACCATACTCCTAATTATCTCATTGTACTGATCCTGTGTATTAACCCAGGATTACATACATGCTTTAGATGATTGATAAGCAGATACTTATTTGTTTTGATTAGTTATCCTTATAGATTTGTGATCAGCAGGCTTGCATTTATATCATTTCAAGATTACAACCAATGGACATGAATTAGCAAATGAATTCCATATAGTATTGAGGAACACTTATCATACAACAACTGCTATGTGTTTTGTGGTTGGCATTGTGAAACAGCACAGGTGAATTATCTCCCTTAGTGTTCCTAGTTGCCTTTGAGGTAAGCATGGATCTTCCCTTATTTGTTGTGGTAGTTAGGTGCCATCAAGCCATCTCATGGTGATCCCATGTAACAGAGTCAGACTGCCCAGTGGGGTTTTCCAGCCAATGGCTAGGTCCAAATGGCAAGCTTTCATTTATCATTGCACCACCAAGGCTCCTTACTCCCATTTGATGGATGCTGTGTTGTTGAGTACCAATGAGTCAGAACTGACCTGTAACTGACCCTGTAGTCAGCATTCAGAGAGAGTGAATTGCCGATTGTCCATCTTTCTTCCATTGAGCAACAGATAGATTCAGACTGCATGCTTTTAGGTTGGTAGGGCATCTCCTTACCTCTAGGCCATCAGAGTTCCTGATATTCTGAGGTATTAAATTGCAGGAAAGCTACAAAATATCAGAAACAAGTGTTCAGTCCATTTCTGCCTGCCTCAAATGCTTTCCTTAGCCACTATGTTCTGTTTTCAATGAAATGCAACAGAGATTACTAAAGCATCTTTACTGTCATGTAAAGTTAGACACATGTTTTTAGGAATCAACCTAAATTATTGAAGTTATTGAGAGTGAAGACAGCATCTTGTTAGTGGTGCACAGGCATAAGAGTGACTCCCTTCAAACACATTGACTTGAGGAAATTATCAATGTGTTTCTTATGCTCTTTTGTTTTTCGTTTTTACTTATGTTCCTCTTCTTTCAACTCCAGACTAATACAAACAACTGTTTTCTTCCCATTACCACTTGTGTTGTTAGATTTTGTTGAGTATGACTCATAGCGACCTTCCAAACAATAGATCTGAACCCTCCCCTCTCCTGTGCCATCCTCATCATCTCTTCAAGAGATATACTTGAACCATTGCCTTCCTCTGACATACTTGACCACTTGAGTGTCCAATAAGTACAATTCCAAGACCTGATGTTTGATGATCCCTTCAAAGCTGTTCAATGTCCATTCTTTCTCTCATTGCCAACAATACTATCTTCTCAGGGGCCCAAACAAAAAAATGTGGGATCATCTTTAACTTGTTTTCTTTCTCTTATTCCATATATCCAAACTATTGACAAATTCAACTGGATATAGAAGTATAATATGCATGCACACCCATGTTTGTTGTGGCTTTGTTCACAGTAGCAAGGAGTTGGAAACAACCTAAGTGCCCATCAACAAACGAATGGATAGAGAAGCTGTGGTATATTCACACAATAGAATACTATGCTGCATTGAAAAACAAGGAACTCATGCAATTATTAAAAATGGATGACTCTGGAGGACATTATGCTGAGTGAAGTATCTCAGTCACAAAAGGACAAATACTACATGGTGTCACTGTTGTA